GACAGCCACGTTGCGGCTTATAAAGTAGTGTTGATGAACCAGAAAGGAGTTGTTGAGTGGTTTCTTTACTACGACCCGTAACACTCAGCTACGAAATATCGATTTATATCTCGCCAAGGAAAATGCACTATTTATTGGCACGATACACCAACCTTTATGATCTAAACCAATGTCATAATATACAGTAAAAACCCGCATATAAGTAATACAAAACAAATTGCTTTCGAGCGTTCTGAGAATCACTTTTTAGGAAAAAGAAAAAAGGAAAAACAGGATGACTTTTCGCTTTGATCAGTATCGACAACAAGAAAAAGATTATTGGAAATGCTGAAAAAATATGGGGAAACTCAGCACCGATCGATCTGTGTGAACTCTTTTTTCATCAAACCTTTATGTGGCTTGCTTTGCCCATCCCATTGGTGGGAATAATAGTGTGCTCTTTCTGCAAACTTTGGTATAGTCCGAGACTTGTGAGTGTGGGGTGGGGGGAGGGTCATCAGTATTTTTGGAACTTTCGAAGGGAAGGTCAAAAGTTTAGTTTTAGAATTACTGGGGAGGGTCACACATTCTTATGACAAAGAATGGAAAAGAAATTCCCCCAGTAATAAACGTGCCTTCCCTTAGAGACGCAAATCATCACTGTCTCCCAGTCATACAAACAAGCCGCCAATGGCGACAGAACTCGAAGATTGTTAGACAAGTAGTATATCGTGGACATAAATCTGTATGAAAGCCAGAGTTTGGTAGAGGGGACACCAGTCCCCTCTAACTCTGATGAAACCTCAGACTTTGTAATATGAAAATATTGAACTTGAAATTTTGAATTTAATAATGCATTCGTAACACCTTAACGATATCGACAATGAATTATCAACACCATCACAATTTCTTAGTTTGAAGAGTTGAAGTGATGACACCTTCACTTTGAATGCTGGCCGTTAAAATTTATATTTTGAGTTCTTACTTGTTGTAGTGTCGTCCGTGTGAATCGATTTTTACGAAGGATAAAGTTTATATGAATCAATGAGCATTAAATACTGATCGACATGGATCGGAATAATCCTTGAAATCATCGTAATAGAATCATGTATCTATGAGCCATATTGACACGATATCTCCTAAAACGACTTCTGAAATCCACAGATTAATTGGTAAGAAACTTCAGACCTCAAAAATTAACATTTTGTGCGTTTAAAAAGCCACGGATTTCTAAATGCCCGTACAGAAAAAATAAGTGATTTATTAACTAGTCCCTCACACACCCCGGGGGGGGGGGACTCCCTAATATCAAAGGGCGGGGGTCCTCGGCGTCCCTTTTAGGGTTTGAAATCAGTATTTTGGTCCCGCTTAGGGTGATCATGACAAGAATTCCTACCAACTGTGTTTTGTGGCCCCTTTTTTTATATATTAACACAGGTAAAAGCACTGAAGGATGAAAGAAAAGGACACAATAATCCTTTCTAGAAAAATTAGAGCTCTCCATGTATGAAACAGTATTCACTTCTTACAAATACCCTATCACATCAATACCATTTTTTCAGTGTCCCTAGAGGGGGATAGATAATGTACAGCAGAACAAAGACAAATGTGTCCAAGTAGATAACTTGCCAACATTGAGGAAAAAATACCACGATGTCAGAATGTGATAGGGCCTCCTACCAGGAGAATCAAAGGCTCACAATTCATCTTTGAATCTTTGCAATTTTTTGTTTTGCTTTGTAGATGATCTCACATTGAAAATTGCTTTCTGATTGGTTCCAAATCAAAGATTCCACATTTTCATATGAGAAAATTGCATAAGGTTCTTGGATGCACATGACCAAAGTCCTGATATTCCCTATACATATAATTTCCTGTATTATTAATTCCCTATACACTTAATTTCCCTAAAACTTGATGCTGTTAAAAACTACGAAGATTTCAGAAACATCCAGTTTCTGAGGCCAACTATCACAGCATAATGCCCAAGATTTTAACTGCTCTATTGTTTTTATTATTCAACAACAAACTTTTCTTAAGGGGAGGCTCNATTTATTTTATTTATTTATCTGGTGGATGGCACTATTCACGCTTTCGTATGTGACTTTTACTCAAGTGACATTCAAAATGTTCCCTAATTACAATTCATATAATTCACTAGCATGTAGTCATGTCAAAAGATAACATCAATAACATTTGTACTAGTTGTGAGTGTAGGGTCCCCTACAAATTTATGTACCAGACGGGCTGTTATTATTGCTATGAGTATAGTCTGCCAATATGTGACTCTCCCAACAACAACAGAGGGGTGGACCTGGTAACGAGCCACATAACRGAAGAGAAGTGAGCAGTCTCTATATTTCTGGCAAACCACATGATACACAGATTAGCGGGAATACAATAATATAATGTACTTTTTTTCGGTCCTGTATCCTAGTCATTCGCGCGCTTTGATTGGCTAGCGCGCGATCCGGTTTTTATGCGATATGCCGCGCGGTCCGACGGTATCCTGCAGCTAGGCTGCGAGCAAAGTTGCATAAAATACAAATAAAAAAAAAATAAAAATGTTATTTACCGTCTATAGGTCGGTCCGTATAGGAAAACACTGCATGCCCTCGGTTTTTTATGCACGGACCTCGCTGCGCTCGTTCCGTACTGTCAAGACCTCGGGCAGTGTTTTCCTATACTCCTATACGGACCGACCTATAGCCGGTAATAACATATATGCACTTTTTCTCAATTGAAATCAAGTCACTGCGGCTTATATTATCTATCTACTTACTGTTCCAAGATACGTCAGTGTAGCCCCCGAAAATGTATTGGTTGACGCGAACAATGGTAACCGAAGGTCCACGACCGTCGCATTTCGGGTGAAATTGTTTTTGGACGTCCCATCCATCTGAGTTGGCATGCCAGCACAGGTTCCAATGACTGGCGCCGCGATCTTGCAATACAGGATCTAGATATGTTGTTAGGACCTGCAGATAGCTGTCATTACCATAGTTAGAAAGAATGGAGGATTTCTCGAGTCCTCCTGAAATACAATCAACATAAACCATTGATCCTAACATTTGATAGTAACAGTATTCTATAACCAGATACTTACTGGTGGTACCATTGACGCACAATTGCCCGTTCCCTAGATACCCTGGCTTGCAAGTACACAAAAAGGACCCTTTGGTGTTGTTGCAAACTGCATTTGAGTCACANNNTTACCTGAGCAATTCTTCTGTCCATCTCCATTGAATCCTGTTTTACATTTGCAGAAATAGGAACCATGAGTATTGTTGCACTCAGCATCAACGTGACAGGTTTGAGGATCAGAACACTCGTTGATATCTGACAACAACACAAAGTTTACATTACTAGGAGCATCGATGTTCTTATACAGGAGTGACGTTGCATGTATATTATTTTGGTTCTTTGCGGATTTTTTGTTGGCGTATAATGACTATAATACATGAGGCGACAGCTCATTGGTCAAAAGAAATCCAAAGTTAAACTTTTTACACATTATTTATTGGTTGTCCTAGTAAACAATCTGGCGCCAACACAAATATACAGAATAAAAACCAAACGAACTGTTGATTATGGTTCTCACCGGATTTACAGTTGTGTCCTTTAAAACCTGGTGCGCATGTGCAAGTATATCCTGTTGGTGACGTAACGGTGCACGTTCCTCCATTGAAGCAAGAATGTTTGCACGGGTCCTGCAATCAGAACGATGTCATTGTCATTTTGTTTGTGGTATAAATGTGTGTTGTTTGTAGCACGAGATGCGTGTCTTATTGGGATTTAGTTTAAACATACTAATGGTCTATCACTCATAGAACGCTGTGATTGGCTACTCTACTAATGGTCTAATTTGTGATAGACCATTCGCGGGAAAATCAAAATGGCGGCATCTCATTAATAAATTATTTTAAGGATATTTCAATTTGTTTTCATTATATTTGACCGATTAGTATGTTTATACTAAAACAATTAGACCTCTCGGTCTCGTGGACTACGAGCTAATAGCCCATTCGGCCTCTCGGACTCGGCCTCGGGCTATTTATTAGCTCGTAGTCCA